AGGGGGGATTGGGCGGAGGGCACCGAGGAAAAGGGGGAATGTCAACAGTAAATAAAACTCCGCGACTCCAGCAATGGTAGGTATATCAGCATCAACACAGCTTTCAACGCCGCCCAGCAATTGCGATCGTGGGCCCACGTCCCCCGGCTTATATACCAAAGTGCAACTTTGCCAGAGACCCTGAGTCACCGACAAGCAAGAAACCAAAACCCAAAAGGCACCACCCAGCCAAGCCTTTGCAACCGCAAACCGCAACACTTACTGTCTCTCGCCCCTTCATCCTGCGCAGTCACGACATCATCGTGCCCAGCATCCGGGCCCCCGCCAAGATCCCAAGACCCAACCACGGCCGTCCAGTGACTAAAAGCCTCAACATCTACACGTCCTGTGACAATGCAAGCGCTGGATATTATATAATAGTTCGCCACGCCTTTTGCCTCGACCGCGTCTGTTTCCAAGGACCACGCCTGCAGTTACGTAACCGGGCGCAAGCATCATGGTGAGCAGTGCAGTGCGTACGATGGATTATTGCGAATGAGAGGAAAAAATGTTGGGTCGCGAGACTCGAGTTGCCCTTTGCGTGAAAGCGACCCTTTCTACCGAGTATTTTTAGATAGACCCGGGCCCCCAGTGCAATCGGTCGGTGGGAATCAGTGGAAATCAGTGGATATCGGGAATTGGGAATTGGGTAATAGCGGAACCACGTGAATAAGGAAAGCCGATATGTAGCAATTTGCTGTCGATCAACAATAATTGAACACAGCACGCACAGCACAGCACACCACAGCACACAATCCATTGATTTGATTGCATGGTACTGTAACTCGCTGTATGGCCATGTCGATGCCATGGGCCCGGCGGATTTCCCGCAATATCGATAATCGACATATCGTCGATTTCGCTTGCAGCAGAAGTTCCTAACGCTCCTAACGGTTAGGGAAATCCGGGGTTGGGGCTTGGGAGCTTGGAAATGTTACGGCTCGATGCATCTCGCCCTTTGGCTTTGTGATCTTTCGAAGGCAGGGAATAAATAGAGTGGCGACGGTGGGCCCGCGAGTCAGCTAGTAGGTACGAGTAGCTACAGTAGTAGGGGAGCCCTTTTTCCAGAAAGGTTTGATTTGGGGTTTTCAGGTACGATTTATCGTCATGGCTGTGCAAGCGATGACGAAGCGGTTTTTTTTTCTTCGGGACCCAGATGGCCAGATGCCCATAAGGCCAGATGCCAATTATTGCCAATTGCCAGACGATGATGATGATGCCACCAGATCGTGGAAGAGCGTAGCTGCCACGGCGGGAGGTGCCGTCGTGTCAAGACGTCAACAAGGTAAAGAATGCAACAATACTGCGGGTGGTCCTGTCAATTCTGACACTTGTGTCCCTCGTGTCAACTCGTGTCAACTCGTGTCACCTCGCCCTGCGGCGGTGACAGGACCCGCACGTGGCCTCTACATCGGCCATTGCACATCGCAAATGCCACAGGGACTTCACGAGTTGACGTCCATTCCAGACAACCGACACCAATGCTTCACCCCTAGATGGCCTAGGCCGACACTTCGCAGCGCAACCACGCGGGGTACGATTTAGGGCAGCTGAGCGGGGTCCGTGAAGGGTCTCGAGACACAGAGTTTCAAAGTCGCAAGAGTCCCGAGGGACACTAAGCCGAAGCTCAGAGCTAAGCCGAGGACCTTCGATCGAGACAAGACATGTACAGTACAGCAGAGTAGTGGCAGCTGCAAAGGGGTTCGCATGGTTTTGTTTTGTTTGGTTTACTAGGGATGAAGATCCCATTTGCCCGTTGCAAGGTCATGTTATTTTCCCAAAAGATGTTTAGTTCATATTCATGCTCGTCCCAAACGATATTCGGTTATATTCATGTTCATGTTCACGCTCACGTTCACGCCTTAAAAGTATTGCTCGGGTATATCACAACAAGTGTCTTCAAAGTGGACTATGCATTCATCAACGACAAGCTCGTCAAGGTATCATAATTGTTCAAGCACTACATACAGTACATATACCCAATCCTCCGAAATTACTTACTACTACTGCAAGAAAGTCGGCGGCACATCAGGTCCTATATTAGGTCAGCATCAAATTCAACCCACGCCAGAGGATATCAGAGTCAACATACCCCATACATGCAGATTCCCAGGTCCCGCAGCACCTCTATGTCCAGGCGTATCCTCGTTGACCAGATCGCCATCAACATAGTGCTCCAGGATGAACCGGCTCGGGTCAAACCAGTAATCAAAGATCTGGCTACCCATTACGTGTCTGCCAACGCCCCAGCAGTTCTCGTACTTCTGGTCCCGCAACCAGTTATGACCCAGCATCTGGATGTCGAAATCAAAGACCTCGAAACTCGAATGGTGCACATGGAACTTCGGCCCCTCGAAGAAGAAGAACGTGTGGTGGTCCACCCACTCCTGTCCGCGGTCCAGGTGCAGGAACGTAGTGATGTCCTCGTCCGTCTTGGGGTCGTATACCAAGTCACTAGACTTTAGGTTGAAATTGGTGGTAAAGAACTGATATGCCTTCTTGAAATCCGTGACGCACAGCCCAAAGTGTCCCAACTTGTGAACCGGCGCGGGTCCCTTCTCGAACCGCTGTGTCTCGCCAACAGGCCGGTATTTGCTTGTGGGGAAGTTGTAGTTCAGCTCGGGGAACGTCTGGGCGATCTCGACGGGTGTTTGGCCGTAGACCAGGTGGAATGGGCAGTTGTCCACAGGCTCGTAGAACGTGACACGCTTTCCCCCGCCCGGGGCATCTGAATCGTGAATTGGTGTTGCGCCTGGCAGCGACGTTGCCAGTTCCAGGTCCTCCATCGAGTCCACTACGAACGCCGCCCCGCCAAATACATTATCGGTACCCTTGGAGGCACAGTACACGAATGGCTCGGGGCCATATCCGCGAAAGTATATCTTGTCGTCGGAGCGCTGGGTGACGCTGAAGCCGAAATCGAGGAGGAACTTCTCGGCCACCTCGAGGTTCTTGTGGGTGTAGAAGACATGAGCGATGCGCTTCAGGCTGATCTTCTGCGTTGAAGCCGAAGGCGACATGGTGCCGGTATGTGCTAACTAATCAAGGCTTCTTGGGTGTTCTTTTATAGAAGACCACGAGCCTTCAAAGACGTTCAGCGGCTCTGCTAACTCAGTGCGGGTATGTGATGCCGTGGCAAGGAGATGTGGACAAGCCGGTAACAAGAGGCAGAGAAGGGAAAAGGGACGGGACGAGGTATAAGGCGGATATATAGAGGCATATTGGGAATAGACAACTCCCGTGAGGCCGGACCCGGGGAGATATAAAGGGGACGGAGGTCGATGTGGGGAGGAGGGAGTGGTGCAGTGTGTAGGGACGTAGGGAGGATTTCTGGGTGGTGGTGGTACATCGTACGTGGTACCGTGGCGACGATAGCTGGACGTCCGGCAATGGCTGGAGTACGGGGATTAGAGCTGCACTTGCGCTCCCACCAGACGGAGTGATTCGCTGGAATCGTAGAATGATAGAATAATAGAACGACCGACTCAGAGGATACTCGTCATCGCAATGGCAACTGGCAGTGCCAAATGGCCGAAGTCTGGGCTTGTTTGTGTTTGTATTTTCTCTTGACCCCGAAGATGCCCCGCATGGAGATTGGAATTCGACCGTCCCACAAGGCACGACGACAACAAATATATCGATAATAATGGCAAAACAACGACAATAATCTACAGCCAGATCCACAGCCATGCTACGACCCAAGAGAATGTTATCGTAGTCTGCAGAGGTAGTACTATCTAGGTATATTGTGATATACCACTATACTATTCTATTATTTTACTGTATTTGCAGCTCATCCTACAATCATCACAACGAGCTTCCCCACCATCGTCACCGATTCCTCCACCATCAACGCCCCCACAGCCACCGGTGGGGCTGAAACTATATTCGCCCTTCACTTCCCCTTCACCACCCACGGATGATCTTCGTACCAAGGCACCAAGGTACTTCCGCACGGGGTTCTTATTTACTACTTGACCCCTTTTCCTGCCAGAACTCCTATTCGCCTTGTGTTGTTGCTGTACTGCAGTTGCCGAGGAGGAGGCTGTAGTAAATAATTCCGTCCTGTCAGCAATTGATCATCTTGAATAATCGGCCAAGATCATCGCGTCCGCGCACCATCTCGCCCTCGGCCCTGCCCCTCCTTCCCCGCGTCGTAGTAGTTCGTCTGTGTACTACGTAGAGTTTAAAGACTTGCCTTGGACCTCAAAATGTATTTGCGCCTGGTCCAATGCAGGTACAAAGAGAGAGCCAAGGCGCCGGTTGTTGATTTTCGCGCTCGAAAGCAAAGATACTGCACATATCGACACAATGGGTGAAGAAGCTCCTCGAGCCCCAGGCGCAGACGCCGGTGCCAGTCCGTACGGCGATGTCACCGAAACCGATCTCTTGATCGTTGGCGCTGGCCCAGCTGGAGCTGGGTTGGCCTGCTTCCTGACGCAGCATGGTGAGTGACCACTTATTCAATACAAGATGCAGTCGCGCAGAAGCAAAAGTCGAAATGCCCAAGGCGAATTGAATGCTGATAGCCAGGCCAGGCTTGAAAGGAATTATGGTGGCTGCCACCCCGAGCACGGCAGATACCCCCAGGGCACATATCACCAACATGGCCGCCCTCGAATGTCTCCGTGACATCGGATTAGAGGACGAGTGCTTGAAGCTTGCAGTAGACGGTGGCTGCATGCAACACACGAGATGGTGTCGAAGTATGGCGGGAGAGGAGTACGCGCGGGTCTATTCTTGGGGAAACGACCCAACAAGAGCGGTGCGTCCTGGTTCAAATTCAAACTCACCCTTTTTGGAGTTCATCAAGCTGAATTAAATTTCGCCCATCAGGGGGATTATGATGCTGCTAGTCCTTGCAGTCACGTTGACATCCCACAAACCGTCCTCGAACCCATCCTCGTCCAGCATGCAATGCAAAATGGCTTTCATTGCCGTTTCGATACCACTTTTCTCTCTTTTGAACGCGAGCCCCAGGGCACCATCGTCAGCACCGTTAAGGATAATTTGACGAAGAGTGTATATCGTATCCGATCCAAGTACCTCTTCGGATGTGACGGTGCTAGAAGTCAAGTCATCCGCCAACTAGGGATTCCGTTGATCAAGAAACCGGGTCAGGGCCTAGCAACAAATGTGCTGGTCAAGGTGGATCTTCAACATGTGGTCGAGAATCGGATGGGAAATCTACATTGGGTACTAAAACCGGACGAAGCCTCCCCCGACTTTGCATGGTCCGCCCTCGTCAGAATGGTGAAGCCTTGGAATGAGTAATTATTAACCTCGAGACTAGTATACGGGGTTTTGCTGACTTTCATAGATGGATGTTTATCATCTTTCCTGCTCCTGGTGCTGGTGTCGACTTCGCTCCATCTGAGGATGATTATCTGAAGGTCATTAAATCCCTTGTCGGTGACGACTCCATCCCCGTTAAGATCCTAGGAGTTTCAAAATGGTTTATAAATGAGATTGTGGCTGAATATTACTCGGATGGCAACATGTAAGATATCGTCTCTTAAGTTATACCATTCTTCTTAACTAACATCTCCAGCTTCTGCCTTGGCGACGCCGTTCATCGACATCCGCCAATGAATGGTCTTGGTTCCAACACTTGTATCCAAGATGCCTATAACTTAGCATGGAAGATCGCATACGTTTTAAACGGGAAAGCTAGTCCCGAGCTTCTCAATTCATATAGCCCTGAGCGCCAACCTGTAGGAATGTCAATCATATCACGTGCCAATCAAGGCCTTCGAGATCATCAGCCCATTCTAGAAGCCTTCGGCATGACGGATCCATCACTTGAAGTGCGGAAGAGTAATTATGCCCAGCTCTCCGAAGCCACACCGGACGGTGTTGCTAGAAGAAAGAGACTTCAAGAGGCGCTAAGTCATACCCGCCATGAATTCCACGGTCTTGGAGTAGAAATGAATCAACGATACGAATCAAAGGCGATTTACCTGAGCGACGAAGGGCCACGACCACCCTTGCCAGAGGATCCTGTTCTAACACATGCGATAACCACGTACCCAGGAAGTAGGCTACCCCACGCCTGGCTGAATACCCGACTCCCCGGAAAACAGTTCTCAACGATAGATCTTGCTGGCCATGGCGTGTTCTCGCTATTCACTGGCATCGGTGGAGGCCAGTGGAAGACAGCTACAGAAAGGGTTTCAAAGGCGCTAGGAGTGGAGATCCGAGCCTATTCCATCGGATGGCTCCAGGATTACGAGGATGTCTACTCTGACTGGTCACGGAGGAGAGAGGTTGACGAAGATGGCTGTGTCTTGGCTCGGCCTGATAGATTTGTTGCATGGCGCTCTCATGGCATGATCGAGGCCCCGGAGGACAAGTTGCTTCACGTTATGATTAGTATTCTAGGAAGGTAGACCTATTTTCAGCTGACAATTCCAGTTAGAGCTGGGAGTTTTGGGAGGTTGTATTTATATGGGGGTTGATATCAAAGCAAATCCCTTAATACAGTTGCTAGAACGGGGTTACCCTGTTTATTTTATCGACGAAGTGTTTTACCTGTTCCAGCGTTCCTAGTCGTCGGCTGCTTTGTCCTGCTCAACCAACCCTCCTATTATAACGATCAGTGCCTTCCCAAGAGCCGCTATTCAATAGAAATCGGTATATAAAATTATATTCATTCCTAATTCATCAACCATCCCTTTAGCTATCGCTTTCATATCTCATATTCCATTATTAGATAACTTCTCATTCTATCATCCTTCTCTGAAACCCCCCAAATCCAACAACTCCTCTACTTTAAATCCAAGTTGGATCTCCCTACTATCGCCATCTTCGTTTCCAGAGCGAACGATGACTTACTCAATATATATTTCTAGAAAGAGATCACTAGGTAGCCCACATATATCCCCGCCACTTTGGTAAGATATTGAGTCGCTTACTTTGAAATAGACATTTCCAACTTCTCTGTACAATTACTTTGAGACTTCTATAACACTCTGCATAATCGTCGCTACCACTATATAAATTAGGATGGGAAAGATTATCTCATGCTGTCGTCTTATTAGTAAAATGAAAAATATTCTAAAGGTGAATGAATTAAGCGTCATAAAAGAATTTCGTCGTAAGGGAGGTGCTGGGGTTATAACGTGGCTGTTTTATTTGCGTTCCTACGTATGTTACTAGGCTTTCCTTTAGTTAGGACTTGACTACTTCTATTGATTGATAATTATATAGGAAATGAGTATATTTTATCTCGATTTCGCATCCGGGGTGACATCGAGTATAAACAAAGTTAGCCTCTTCTCTCGCGATACTTATAGGTTGCGTATAAATGCTACCTACCATAAAAGAGCAGGCGTGCTCTACTAGCCCCTATTATACACATGTTATATTAAACGTGCTCAGTAAAATTAAACAAATTTATATCTATCGCCGCAACTTCTAGCAGAATTAGGATTTGTAGAGAAGACTAACTTGAACTTGCCCTAAAAGAGATTCCACTAGTATAATTGATCCCCGTAGACTCACTTTCAAAGCTACTTCGGTTTTTGGAGATAAATTATATACTCTCCTAACTTGATCCATTCGTAGCAACACGTTAGTTACCAAATAAGACTGTCAAATAAAGGGGATTTTAGGGGACGGGATATAAGATGACCTCAAAGGGAGGATATTAATATACTTTTTGGGGAGCAGGAAGGACCCTCTGTAAGGCAAGGAGCAAATAGGGTATACCACAACCAACAAAGTACGTAACCAAAGGAGAAGTAGGATATAGGGCCAAATAGTCCTGGCATGACTCCCGTCATAGGGTCGATGTGTAGTCAGATCGTCTTGGAGAACACCATCCCATGGTATGGTGAAGTCTCTGTACAGGTGAATATTCAGGCTCACCCAGGTGGTGGCATTCAGAGGGAGACTCACTGGCCTCAAAAGCGGTAATCAAGACAAGGCAAAAGTATTCGAATTTTTGAAAGCTTTTAGGAGCCTAAGTCCCGAGCCTATTGCATGATGTGTATGTGTTGTCATGCTTTCTAAAAATGTGAGAATGGACTAGGAGCTTTAAAACCCAGCTGGTCCCACTTATCGACATGCATACCGACAGGTCTAATTAACCAACTACAAAGAGTTGAATGAAAATAAAGCTATTTGAAGGTGGTTGGGGTTGCCCCGCCACAATACGTAAGGGAAAATTTAATAACTGGGAGTGGTAGTGTAATTTAAATTTTATATAATTATTTAATCTATTCACACGAAGGGTCTCCTTTTTAAACTTGCTAGTAATAACTTCTAGATGCCATTTGGTATAGAAAGGTTTTTTCTAGTATGGAGATCTTTTACTCCTGTAGGTATAGTACTCGAACCAATTTCCCGCCGTACCCCTGCATTGCTTCAGTGTGAGTCCAAAGTTGTTTAGGCTTATCCCGTGATACTTCCCCAGAGCTCTTCGCCATTTTAACATTAAAGTATGACAGAAACGTTGCGATAGATAATAATTAAGGACAGTCCTACTTCTTAATTATTTGGCACTCCTAGGATCTGATGTTACATACCATATTATTGACTGTGCCGTGGGGGGAGGATTTGGATTATAGGTAGGCGTATACCGCATTTGTTCCCTCGACGAAAACGAAATCCACTTTCAAGTGTACGCCGTATAAGAAGATTGGTTTACTCTCCTAGCTTCGAAATTGAACCAAGTCAAATATTATCTCAAACCCAAGCTAGGCAACAATCCATGGGATGATACATATCGGGTCCAAACTCAACGGCGCACATCCCCCGAACACTTGGAACGCGGCGGTGAGGGCTAATCGGTACAGTAACGCGATTTGAGTGAATTTCACCATTATAGTTTCGGCCCGTTAGTGAATATCCGCGCAAGTTTTCAGATCGCCCTGTTGCTGGCATGTTCAATCAGTCCCCAATCAACCGGAAACACCGCATTTTGCCAGACGAGCGAAAGTGGACGGAGTGCAACCCCTGACATATACTAGCATATTTAGATTAATGCAGAGCGGACACCGAAACCGCGATGGAAGAGTTTCAGTCACATGATGGTCTGGAAACTGGATGTGTTGTGGTATTCGGATGCTTTTGTCTATTAAACAGAAAACAATGCCACATAGACCCAGTCTATATGGCGAGATATGTAACAAGAAATTATGTCTTTAGAGACAACCGGTATAGTACATAAAACAACAATCTAATGACGCCGTGACACATACATTCATAAGTGACCCTTAACTCATTTAATGCCTGAAGGACTGTATCCTGTTGACAAACTCCTTTTCGTGTTCTGGCCTAGCTGGATCCGTTGTGATTGTCACATCCTTTTTGACCAATATTGTCCTGTCACCCAACTCAATATCCCGTATGCTGTTTGGTTGCGTGTTCCCAGCACTGCCATCATCGCTAATACGCTCAAATCCATCGGCATCGAGATGATCGCGCTTGGAGGAAGTAAATTTCCGACTCTTGCCGCTGACGTTTGGACCGGAAAGCGATCCATTGGTGGGAAAGCTGCTGTTGCTCTTGCTCTTGTTGGTGCTGCCAGTTGATAGACGGAAGAAAGACTCGAAAAGAGGCTTGAGGAGAGGAAGGTTGCCACCGATGACCGCGAATCCCATTTCCATAAAGGTCCAACCGGATGCATAGACTTGGCTGTAGGTGCCATCAAGCGGAGTGAAGTTAACGAGGGCGGCAATGCGGATAGCGCTGCTAACACAAGACCTGGATAGGTGTAAGCAGGGCTGTGAGAGGAATGGGGGGTATGGTCGGTAGACTTACAGAGTGCCAAGTAAGAAGATACCGATCAAAGCAATTCTACGTCGCATATTTACTTGAAGGCCCCAAATGATGGGAAGAGGCAAGGCCAGAATAAAGACATCGCCAAGTAGAGAGAAAGCGCCATTGGCCGTGCCGCTGATGACTTGGTTCCTGCAAGTCCCTCCCTTTATTGTCTTGTCATAATAGTATGCAATAGGAGAGCAAACTGTTAGATTAACTACCCATGACACGACTGCCCAGATAATGGTGTATGCAACATTAGCCCAAACAAAATATCCGAACCTCTTCGAGGGAAAGAGACGCATGTAGAAGGCTAGAATTGAAAGTTTGATGCAGAGAAGAGCCGGCTGGTTGGCTCGTTGAAGTGCGAATGTAATCTACAACTGTTAGTTGAGAAGTTTCCTATAACATTTAACTTGTTGAATTCTCACATGGAGGAAGCGCTGCCTTTGATCGGCAGGAACGTTGCAAACATGATGGCCGAGGCCATTCGCCATAACTAAAGTCATAAGCCATTGGACTCTAGAAGGGGAAAGTTATCTTACGAAGATACTCGCAAATGGCAGGCTCAAAAGTAATGAGCAGCCCCAGGCCCATCAAGAAGTCATCCCATTTTAGCGGTTGGTATGACTTCTTTCTAGCCCAAATACGAGCACCATAAGAAACAACTGCTAGAACAAGTACCAAAGTTGTGGTGATCCAGGCGAACATTCGTCGATTCGCAACGTCTTCTGGAATATCGGGCTGGCATGGTGGTAGCGCCCGGGCGAAATGAGTGAAATCCATGACCACTTGTGATGAAGGGGAGCAAGAGAGGGAAAGATTTGCAGTCAGAAATACTCCGTAACGTCCAGCATTCCCATGAAGGAGCGGGTGACGTGCGGCAACTAGCTGTATATAAGGATCTAATCGCAATGTCTCGGATTATTCTCCCTTGAAAGCGTTGGAAGTTTAGACAGATGGTCGGAGCTGCTTCCGCGAGCTGCAAGATCTTGGCAATCCCAGTCTTTCAGGATATCATAGGGTTAGGTATCAGTGGTGCAAAGTACTGTACCATACGGCCAGTTTCCATATACGTTGGTCCCAGGGCCCATGTACTGTAACGTTCGAAGTGCGGATCCCAGGACCTCAATACCTGCTTGAATCTCCTGGATACGTCGCCGCCCCCGGGCAGGGGAGAAGCAGAAGAAAGCTTTTGCGAGCGGAAAATACCCTGGTCATAATTGAAAACTGGCGTGGGTGCCGCAGGTGTTCCAACTGGACAGGCTGGATAATGGGATATTACCTTCTTTAATAGGCCAGTAGGGTAGGGTTTTAATAGCGGAAATATTGAACTCGTTTGTTTAGTCTCAGGTAAACACAACTGTATTGAACTCAATGAACTCAATGCTTATTCTCAGATAAACATAACACTATTGAACTGACTGACTCTCATCCATCTAGGACATAAAACCAGGTGATCACCGCTGCTGTGAGTTGCTAGTAGCATTACGACTGAGCAACGATATGGAATTCCGTGCTCGAACTATGGATCCTACTCGGTACTGTTTAGGGCATACTCTGGCGAATATCGGTAGCATAACGATTCATTACCAGAACTCTTTAACGAGCTGCAGGTACCTGGGTGCCGGCACCGCCGTCCACCAACCAGACCGAGTTGCGGTGAATCACGCCCCGAACTTGCGTCTGATACTTTGGGGGTAAGGGGATATCAGGCAACCCAACTACTGGTATTGAGGGATATCCTTCCACTAGCGGAAATGCATAGTTTATGTGGGGGTTTGCCTGAATATTCTCGAGTACTACCTACGTAGTACGAAGTACGTTCCCTGGAAATACTTCATGGAAATACCTCGAGGCTAGTACCCTGGAAAGGCCGTATCAACAGCTTACTGGCAACGGGCCATTCGCCAGCTCAGCCACCGGGGAAAGAAGCAAGTTGCTTCCGCGAGAGTTCGTCGTGGGCTCGAGAAGCTTTCACGTGAAAGTCCCTTGAAAGAATCAAAACAATATGTACGAAAAAGAAAAGGGGATTGATCCTAGCTAGATCGGTTAGAACTAATGTGTAGATTCTAGAATTTCTAGAGTGTAGAATTCCCATTAACTTGCAAAATTAGCGGACTAAGGGTTCTGTCGGCACTGCCGCCGCAGGCAGTAGCGTTCAAGCCTTTCAAGCCTTGACAACAGGGCTTGAAGATCTAGCGTAGGCTAATGGCGCAATTGTGGACTCATAGCACCAACAACACATCTCTCGCAGTGCTGCACGTCTTTCAGTGCTAAACTCACTTCCTACGTAGGCAATGATTGTCATTCCGCCTCAATATTTCGCACATCCTTCGCACAGTGTATCGAAAGCTCGGGGACAGGACCCATCGGATGCAAATCAGGGTCGTAGCTCATCACAGTAGGAGACACCGCCACTGGCATATAGTGTGGCCAATGAATAGACACGCATGACTGGGGGACAAGGGGGCAAAAACTACGTTGTACGTATTGAGGAGTCGGTCTGCCAGGCCCGTATCTACGTACAAAGTGACCACTCCCACAGCACGGTCAAGTTCCACTTGGATGTGTAATTTATTACTGGAGAAACGCTTTGCGCAAAGTGGGATGGGTTTAAGCATTGCCCTCTGGGGTCCCCAGACCAAGGCCAAATTGGCCCAGCGCGCCACGGACAACGCCACGGATGAGCCAAGTCCACAAGAGCTTAGGGCTCCGAAGGGCCAAGCCGCGGCATTATAGACGATGCTCCGGTCGAGGGCTTGTTTGCACTTCGTACTCCGTTTGTGTTGCCTCTTCTTTGAGAATAGGCATGATCAGGGGTCCCAAAAGACCTACGGAGTTCTCAACCCGGCTGGCGATGCCCAATACATACCGTGCGGAAGTCTAGAACACATTAAGAAAAAGAAAAATGAAGATATTCTTAGCCGCTACTTCGTACTGAGTACGTACTTTGTACTACGTACGTACGAAGTACTGTAGCTCACAAACCCAAGCGCTAATCAACATTAACGCCAACACCAGCGCCAGCACTTGCGGCCCGAAACCGAGAGTCGGAGATTCAAAGCCTGCGACGATCCCTTGGAATGCCCTAAAGCCCTTCTGCCTCTTGGCCACCATCCGTCCCCTGCGTCTCGAAGTTGCTGCTGGCCGGTTCGCAACCATCCTCCTGCCTGCAACTTGCTGGTCGCTGGGGATAGAGTCGCTTCTGGTACGCGAGGTGCCGGCTATCGGCAGTTCCAGTCCTATTACTGTACGGACTCGTTCCGCCGTGAACTTACATGGAGATGTGGGACAGTTCGTTGAAATCCCTACGCGTACTGTCCCTCCAAGTGGTTGGATTGTGCATACGTAGTACGTACTCCGTACATGCGTGTATGTACAGTACCATGCCTCTGGCCCTCTGTGTGTAAGCAGTACTGGGTACTTCGTACGGAGTACATACGGCGTGCACTAATCAGTTCTCCATTGGCACTATGGATGTGCCGGTAGGCTGCGGTTGAAGGAGCTTAAAACTGGTCTCCTGTTGCTCCGTATACTCGGGATTGTGCTTTACACCTGTTTGCGCGGTTAGCGACTGTTATTATGAGAGCCAAGGCCAAGTGGCGCACATAGTATAGTTGAATACCTACCTACGTACAGATATCTTGCTCTGTGAAACCGCCCAAGGGGTAGAGTCACATTGTAGGCTGGGTATTTGTAAAAGTCTGACCATGCTGAGTAGACGTGGTCGACTCGTCTGGTCTGTCGACCACCTTCTACTTAGAAATGGAGTGTGTTCCGGTATTTTGCCTCGAAGCCTCCTTATCAATTGCCGGCTACGGCTTCTAGAGCATAATTTAGAAGGGTTTCCGACTTCCTGGCTAGGGAGGCCGCGCAAATCTGAAATTGTCTCAGGACTTGTGCCTTGTTGCTTACCGGGGGTGGGTGTTTTCAACCAGGATGTAAACAATGGTCTTTTCCACTTCTAGAGTCCTATTAGCTAGTAATGCAACGCTTGTAGGGGATTTATATTGAATCCACACATTGACTTCACGCCACCACACTTCCGTACGGGGTCTTCTGGATTCGCGAGGTGTTAATCTTGGTGCATTGTCTCCAAACCACGTTTTTTTGACTTATAATCCTCCAGTCATCCCAACCCTCTCCCTTGCAGCGCGTCCATCTTTCACATCTGTGACCCAGCGTTCAGAATCTCACCTGCAGTATCGCGGCGCTTTGTCACACAAGAAGGTAGTTGCGGGACGATCCTTCTTGAAAACACCACGAGAGTTTTTGAACTTCAATATAATCTTGTCACCATGTCGGAAAACAACAAAGAATCACAGCTTGAAATCAAGCCCACCACGCCCTCCTCCTCAGATCATGGCCCCACCAGCCCAGAGCTGGAGAAGGAGGCCGTTCAGGATGGGATCGTCCTAATTCCGAAACCGCTAGATGATCCTCGAGATCCATTGAATTGGCCATTTCGGAAGAAGTGTGTTATTCTTGCCACTTTGTCCATTGCGCTCTTTGCGGGTTATGCTGCTCCATTCTGTGGGCAATTGAACTTGATTCAGCAATCCAAACTCTACCACAAGACTGTCGTTGAAATCACCTATTTTGTAAGTATCATGTCGCACTGCGATTTTCTCCAATCTAACAGGAGCTTTACAGAACTCGGCTGCCTCTGCTGGTCTGGCAGCGGGAGGATGGTTCTTTTCACCTCTTGCGCATAAGTTCGGTCGTAGTGCTGTGGTATTCTACGCACTCCTTGGATGTCTGGCCGCCCAAATATGGGCTCCTCTGATGACTGGAAAGGGTGATTACTGGTCTTACTGGGCGTCTAGACTTGTGGCCGGATTCTTTGGTATGGTGTGCAGTGTCTTGGGTCCCCGATACCTCGTAGACATGTTCTTTCTTCACCAAAGAGGCAGAGTTTTCACCATCTTCCATTTGGCTCTGAATTTTGGCGCTTCCGCAGGCCCTACATTTTCAGGCTTCATCGCCCGCAACAATTACTGGACTATCGAGTATTGGTGGTCGGTGGCACTGTTGGGCGTTGCCGCCATTTGCGTTTTGCTCTTCTTGGAGGAGACTACCTTTGATCGCACCCCAGGGGCCGTCAACATGTCACCTCCCAAGAACTATCTTGCCAATCGCATCCAAACCTTCTTCCCATTCCTCCCAGGTAACACGGTTGTGAAGGCTACCACTCTGAAGGAAACTGTAGGTTACGTCGCTGCGGACTTATGGGAACTCAAACTAACAGCATATCTAGATCAGAGTCGCCATCCTTCCTTTCAAGATCGCAATCTCTCCTGTCGTCTTGCTCATTGCTGGCTTTGATGCTATCAGTTTTGGCTTTTACGTTGCCTTAAACGCCTTGACTCCCGTCTGGCTTCAAAAGCCCAAAATTGCCGGTGGGTACGGATTCGACGTTACGGATAATGCAGCTTGTAAGTGGGAACTTTCTCCATACATATCATCCACTCCCTAACGTGCTGATAGTCACATTTGTCCACTGGTTTGGATTTTTGTTCGGTTTGGTTTATGGACAACTGGTTAGTGACAGGCTTCCGCTGTGGCTCGCATCTCGGAAGGGTGGAGCCTGGAAGCCTGAATACCGTCTCCACGCCCTTTGGTTCACCAATCTTTTCCTCATGCCTATAGGCTTAGGACTTGTCGGTGCTTCATTGCAATATAATCTGCATTTCATGGTCTTTGCCCTCGGTCACTTCTTCGTGACAATCGGGTCCATGGTTAGCATTCCGGTAACCGTCAAGTAAGTGTTTCCCCAGCCCTCCAAAAGTATATTCTAACAACCACCTAGTTACATCGCCGAATGTTTCCGATCCCATACTATCGAAGCCACCATTCCAGTGAACTCTATGCGTCTCTTCCTCGGTCTCTCGATCAACTTTTACGCTACCGAATGGGTTGCCAAAGTCAACATCGGGTGGTTCTATGGCATGATGGCATTTTTCACCGTCTTCGCCTTCTTTTTCCTCATGATCTTGATGTTCTGGGGCCACAAGATCCGCCAATGGACACCATTTGGTCTGGGGTCGGATGAAGAAGGACAGCATGTCGTGGAGGGCAAAAGCGTCAACCATCATGCTGTTTAAGGTGGCTAGCTGCCGTAGTGGTCGGTCGCCAATCGTAACTGTATGTTTTGCACATAGATATATTACCCAGGTTCCAGTTTTATTGTCAAAATTATAATCTAACTTAATTATGTTCTCTTCTATTCTGGTGACGCTCTGTTTCGGTATACAGAGCATGCCATAATGGGGTGAAAATGGTACATCACACACTATTAAAAGTCCCATGCTTTGAATGACACCACTTTGAGCACTCATACGCAACCAACCCAAATCAACCCTTCCAGCTCAAAAAGCACTTTTCTTCCCCCACGACACCCTTCAGTTTCCGCGCGTGTTGGCTTGTCCCGAGGGTTTGGAAATCCCGTCTGCGACGCAGTCAGACTGCCATCCTCGCTGACATTACCCGACCCGGGGAAAGCGGCGGCGGATGTCTTGGTCCTGTTCCCATCTGATTGGTAGCACTATGGCCAGCAGTTGCGGAACTCCCGTTTTAAGGCTCGACGCCCGCCGGCACAGGCCCCTGGATCCACCAGGGATAAGCTTCGCCGGCAACCTTGTTCAGAGGATTGCTATCCTAGACTTGTGGCCCCACTAAGATTGCTTAAGCCTCCCACCCGGATGCCCCACGGGCTACTTCGTACTTCGCACATACAGTACATGTCTTTTAAAAAAAGTAAGTACAGTCTAGTCGGGAAAATGCCCCCCTCCCCCCCCCTTCTTGTGAGGGAATCTCTATACAAATTCTATAAAATGGCTCTCGAGGAGGAAAGGTGCGTGTATTTAGGGCCTAAAATCCGTACTATGAATCTCGAATACCTAGTTACAGCGCCTGTTTTACAGCGTGCAAACCTAGGGTTACTATTGTTATGGACCCGCTTAAAAGGGGGGGGGGGGGCCGTTTTCCCGTCCAGAGACTGTACTTCGTATATGGCGTTGTGCTCCGTAATCGCGGCAACTCATTCGATTCAGAGTGTCACCAATAAACATGGGTTTCTGTGCCTTTCAGGCCTTTCACCTCGAATTTCAACAGCATCGTATTGTAGGGAGTAGGGGTCCGGATGGCTTCACGCCACATCAACGGGGGCTTGCCCAAACTGTCTCATCTAGCTCCACTGCTCGTGCGAGGAGTGTTTCTGCAGCGTTGCAATGGAAGCGTTCTATTTGAAATACGAACTATCTTGGCATACAAAAGAATGGAAACCCCAAACCCGTTGTCCTAGGGAACGGCAAATCGGCAAGCAAATCGATAAATGATAACACCATTGTAACGGTTTTGTAAATGAATTATTGACTCGACTTGCAGCTAATGATACGTTTCTCGGCCGCTAAGGAGTTAAGGTATTTGTTAACATCTTATTATGGGCTAGATGTCTAGGACCTGCACCAAAGCTTCATACGCTTAGCTTCTTATACACGGTATACCCCGCCCCCACATTCCTATCTTCCTTCTACAAAATCCAGAGCATCTTTCTTGAGAGCTCCAACTTTTCATCAATCTACTCCATCCATTATCCAGTATGGCTTCCACCACTGCCGACTCAGAAACCCCCGTCTTCCACATCGGTACCCGCGATAAGCGTGCGGGCTGGTACACTCCAACTCTGGAAAATGTCACACCGGCGCAACGAGATCTATTAGAAAAATATAGCCACCTCTCCTCCGATCGAGTGATACCGCACATTCTAGAAGTCGTAAGAAAATCCTTCGTCCTCATAATCCGGGAACAAATTTGACAAAATACATGTATACAGCGTGATCGAGCATGGGAAATCCACCCGTATCCATGTATCGGCGAGCTGCGCTTCATCGACCTAAGCATGATGAACACGCCTTCTTATCCTCAAGTTCTCCAGCGGCTAAAAGATGGTGCCTCCCTTCTAGACCTCGGTTGTTGCTTTGCACAGGACTTGCGAAAGCTGGTTCATGACGGGGCACCTGCGACGAATCTCTGGGGTGCAGAACTAGAGCAGGAGTTCATTAACTTGGGATATGAGCTCTTCTTGGACAAGGAGACATTCGGAGGGCATTTTATGCAGGCAGATGTGTTTGATATGGAAGGACCATTGAAGCAGTTGGACGGAAAGCTGGATATGGTTCAGGTTGGTCTCTTTCTGCATTTGTTCTCTTGGGAGGGGCAAGTGACCGCCTGCAAACGGATCGTTGGCTTGATGAAGCCCAAAACTGGCACGCTTATTATTGGGCAGCAAATTGGTGTGTTGGAAGCTAAAGAGGTCACTGTCGCGGGTGGAAAGAGGGTGATGTTTAAGCACAACGTGGAAAGTTTCGAGAAGATGTGGAAGGAGGTGGGCGAGAAGACTGGAACAGAATGGCAAGTTAGGGCATCTATGGATGGTGGTTTGGGAATTACCGAGAAGGGCCGAGCATGGGATGATCCAACCACGAGACGACTCAGCTTCGAGGTGGAAAGAATAAAATGAATCTCATGGCTTCATAATATATAGCTATTTGTAAGATTAGCTCACTAATCGATACATGTATTTTTTCTTTATGAAACAGTCAGTTGAATAACAGCCATTAGTACAGAATGAGAAGTAATACTTTCTTATAAAGCTTTTTATACTTTATATAGCTTTTGTTTAATACTTTTAGTTTTTATAGTACTAGTACTTCTATATTTCCAAATTAGTCAATCGTAAGAGATAGATTATCTGCTCTCTAACTAAATCAATACTTTAGTTAATTATTATAAGATAATTAAATAACAGCATAGTACTTCAATGACAACTAGTCCTTAACTTAACAGTAGAAAACTACCTGGCAATGTGGTAATATACTTCTACAAAATTTAACGTACAAGTTATATAAATTCACCGGCTTGAAAGTTGTCTAGATATTCACTATAAGATGGTATAGCACTTTACTCTCACTGTAGGTGGACTGCAACTACCTGGCGCACGGCCGGCACGACGCTGTTTGCCGGAACAGTAAATTGTTTCTTGGTTAAGAAAAGTTTCAGGAAATGATGCTGCCCAAGCTTTTATAGGGGGGCGAACGGGTCCGGTGACCGGTTCTCACTTGAGATGAAGCGGGCTCTGCATAACTTGGGTTTGGTAACAAGTAGCAACCATCGCCACAAAAGGGAAAATTCGGAAGTACTCGTTCGTAGGAACATTTGCTATTATTTTTCGCCGTCCCCTTATTGACAATGTGGCACTAGTATCTACAACAAGGTACTTAGTGCTTAGCCCCTTATCCAGCACCTTGAGAACCATCCACTGCGAGGATGGCGAACAAGCTGTAACAACCCGGCGAATTTCCAAACTGTAAGATATGTTCAAAACTGCGGGTCTAAGACCACGCAATATGTCGAATTACATTTGGTTGGCCCATGAGAGTATAGGAAATATGTATAAGAGTCATAAACTGGCCGTCACATTTTTCCAAAAACGCATGTCATTCAATTATAGAAATTATGCCATGTTTTATAGTCGCTTGATACAGCGATTTAGCAACCAAGATTGATGGCTAAGCTGTCGTTAGTGTTTGCTTCTAAAATTTAATTTTAAGGGATGGGACTAACCATTGGCGTAGAGAGCGTAAGAATCGGCATTCAAAACAGACTTAGCGGTTGTAAGCGCAATACTAGCGCTATATCCATACGCATAGTCGTCGGTCCCTGGGCTAAAAGCTCCTGGGGCATGGGTCATCTCGTGGAGTGTTGTGGTAGTCTGGTCCTGGTCGTGGCAGGTGTTGGTAATCAATGAGAGAGCGCTGTAGTAGATGGGGCAATTCACGATCTCGTTGGTGGATGGGATGGTGTACGCCAGGACGTTGGGCTCACAGTAGCCGTATGTGTCGGCACAGTAGTATTTCGTTGACCCAGAAGTGAGCGAGCCACATTGGGATGCAACGGCATTCAGACGTGCAGCGACAGTTGAGCGAGTTGAAGATGAGGTCGTCTTGAAGTACTCGCTGAACTTGCTGGCGGATCCAGAAGAAGCTGCCTGTGCTGCGGCTTTAGCCATCGAGGCACATTTTGTGAGTGCATTGGTGGTAGACGACTTTTGAGCAGAAGTACATCCGGACTGGAGGACGGTGCGTTCAGTGAGGGACCTGGTGGGAATGGCCTTCTTGATTTGAGCAACGGCAGCTCCATCGACATTCATTGTAAGGTCATTGGATTTGAAATACACAGCCGAGCCGGAGAGCTCGGTGGAGTTGCCGAGGGCAAATGGCATTGCACCTTCCGCGCTGAAAGTGTAGACACCGGTTCCTAGGTCATGGACCGCGGCTGGGCTGACGGTGGTTGTGAAGGTAGCTCCTGCTTCCAGATGCTGGAAGTACTGTTCATGAAGTGACGAGTATTTGATAGTGCGGAAGATACCGATGAATTTTACAGGTTCATCTGGTCTAGGTTAATATGTGATACGTTGAGACTGTAATTGAATTGGGACAGAATATATCAAAATGTCCCATGTTGAATGAGTACTAAAGCTTGGAAATATCCAGTTGACTTGGGTTCATTAACAAACTGAGAGTTTGCGGAGTCGCCAACTTGGCTATAATTCCTTGCTAAAAATATGGATACCGTGGGGGTTTCCAAAGATGGTATATCAATTACCAACAAGGACTAACAATGAAAGATAACTCTGCTACTCCGAAGGCATCAAACGGATGAAAAGGAGGTATCATACTGGCTTCATCGACCACACCGAGCTTCTGTACCGGAGCACTATCCAAGAATGTGCCAAGGGTCAACAGATTCAAACTTTCAGCGCCAACATTTTTGATCGTGGCAACGACATCAGCAGCAGAGCCCTCACCAGGAGCGAGAGTCACCTCTAAGCCGGCATCCCTCCTTTCGTTTTGGATAGTTGCAGCATGGGCAAATGCAACTGTGCAAGCTGTGGCAATAGATGAAGTGAAACGCATCTTGACTGCTGAAGGGGAATGGGCAAAGAGGAGTATGACTCTGATGATAAGCTCCTGTGGGTGGTAGAGAAAGGGGTGGTTGATCAGTGCCTGAGAGCACTGCCCTACTTATATAGTTTCGGTCAACAATAACTCCATGGATGCCTCAAGAGACGTGGCACGCTGAGCCGGTCACCTCCGTGATTTCTTCGTGTGAGGCTTATCTCTCAAGTGGTTACCGCAACCATCGAACGGGAAGGTGATACCAAGTAAGAAGGACGAAGTTGATGGCACGGGGTGCTCCAGAAACAGTTTTCTATCTAATTGATGCAGTTTCGGATGGTCAAGCCGGATCAAGTAAATCATATAGCGGGACTACCGTGGAGGAATAATTAAATTAACCATTTCAACCTAGAAAGCAGCCCAAGATGCTGCGGACCACTCGGTCTTGTGACCCGCGTACGATCTCCCACGCTCGCAAGCAGAGTTAATCTCGAGAAGGGAGGCCGGAGACTCTTGAAACGCCGTGAGCTGTAGCGAGAATAGAGTTTATAGCCACTGAGAGTGGCATATAGAGATCGAATAACCTAATGCGAGATGTCGCCAAGAAGGGTATTCTGGTCGAAAGGGGCAGGTAACCAAGACGGCAGTATAGTGGAAGCGGACTTTAGCGCGCCGCATTTACCTTTCCGTCCTATCGGCATCTGGTGTTGCGTTTCGCGGCGGTACCACTTTTCGCATTGCCAGACTCCAGATCGCAAGTGCCGCCAAGAGAGGCGCATGGTGAATTGATTTGCGGAATGCTTTGCATTTACCATGTCCAGGGGATAAGTATAAAATCGTTGATCGACAAGATCTGCCTTTCGCATAAATGCTAGGTCCTTATCTCGCATGTAGATTGCACCGTGGATTGCATGATTGGCCATGGCAAGGCTCCAGCTTCTTGTTGGAGATGTTTGAGCCGTCTTGGCTACTTGCCCTGAGTTGGCTGGTGATCTGGCTACGAGTAGCTTGCTAGAATAATAATCGCGACAAGCAGGGTAGCAACAGATCCGAGGGTGTTGTGCTCCGTAGGTCGCGCAACGCTCCTGGCGAAAACCTTCGTTCGGGAAGTATCACCTGCCTGGCCTGGTTCGTGAATCGGAAACCCAATCGAATTCGCATCCTCTTATGGAAAGATCATCGTGGGGTCTATCACACAACAGCGCAAATAAACCGATCCGGCTCTGCGGGGTTTTCGTGGGGTGCTTGCAGCTCGATATAGGCTAGAACTGTCTGGTATTTGCTCGTGGTAAGTCGGCCGAGGTCTTTCAACATTCCATGAAGCTGGGCTGTTCAGACTCCTTCCATTCCCACTCTCCGCGACCCGTACATCGATATGTCACTGACTTCTCGACTTCTGGTGCTCACAGCTGGAGCAATTCTGTTTCTCGCAGGCACTTATTTCCGATATCCGAGGATCCTTGACGAACTGGTCCAAATGGCGGATTCTTCTGCCATCTCATCAGTACCCATCGAGGTGACTTTATCATCAGACACCACCGCATCTTCCAACTTGGGCAAGGCGACCATCCGTGTCACTCTCACCAATACTTCCCCCCACTCGATATCCGTCCTTCAGTGGCTGTCGCCGCTTGATACTCGCGCGGTAGCAATAGGAGCATTCGCATTCACCTCCACCAGAACCAACTCCCTCGCCCCATGTCTGAATCTGAAATTGAACCGGAAGCTTCCAGAGTCAGGGTCTTTCCCCGCCGATGCCAACGAAATTATCAGGATCCCACCAAAGGGCACCGTTGAAAAGGAAGTCGAAGCTAAAGAGCCGGACGTGGCATTAACGAAAGGCGAACGATATCGCGTGGTAGCGCAAGGGCAGTGGATGAGAGTGTGGATCCATAGCGGGGAAATAGATCAACCCGAGAAGTTGAGTTTGGAGGACGGCATTAGCGGGGAGTATAAAAGCAACGAGCTAGAGATCGAAATCGAAGGGTCTTGAGCTATAGGAGCTATGGAAATTAACTATTAAGTTGTACTTCCTAGTGTTTTGGCGTTGATGTTGATGTTGAATGGGGACATATTGGGGTTTGCAAGCCCAGTGCAAAGGAGTAGCCCAGGCAGGCGCTTCTCATAATGCGTAGCACATAATAAAACAGAACGAATGAAACTCGCACATGGAGCACGTCGTACGTAGTAGTTGGTACGATGATGTACGAAGTATTTGTACTAATAAATAGTACCTGTGAGTACGAAATACGAAGCAGAAGTAGAATGTAGTCAACAGAGTAGTACAAGGGAAAGATTTGCAGGTGGCTGGAGAATATCAGGTGACCAGCCACAGCTGTATTACCTGGAGTACGAAGTACTTCGTACCGGTGTAGCATTTACCAAGTTCCAAACATCCTCGTATTATATCTTATTCCTGATTCGTAGCCAGAACTACAAACTGGGTGCCCGTCATATTCATATGCAAGCTATGCCGCGGATTCCTGGATCTTACTCCGACTGGCAGCGGCCCGGGGCGTGCCCAAAGGATTTAATCATCTCATCCACGGACCTGATGACGTCTTTTTATACCTTGTCAAGGGAGGACCTATCTGTATCATGGTTGATTCGATTTAATCTGCGCGGGTTCCTATGAAGAAACATCACCGATCGTGTATCATCATCTAATTTATATTAACGCTCTTGCTCCTGGTCTGCATCGACCCGCGTCCTACGAATTGTTCTCGCCCCTTTGATACCCCGAGATGGCCGATTCGGAAACCATATCAAAAACCCCCATCGAGCACGAGCCAGTGGATCTGAAAGGAGATGTCGCACACTTGAGCAGCGTCGAGCACCTCTCGGTTCTGCCACATGGAACTGTTGACCCCGTCTACGAACTGAAAGCTCGAGTCTTGAATAATGCGGTAGGGCTTCAGCGCCAGCTCTGGCTCCAGCTCCAGCCTGCGGGGTCTCATCGCACCTCATGGTGAAGTAATACTAACATCCTCCAGATTCAAGAGATTGGTATGGGGAGGTACCAATGGCAGCTGTTCATTGTTGTGGGATTTGGGTGGGCAAACGATAATTTCTGGCCTATTGTCACATCTCTGATATGTAGGTCCGACCAGCACGCAATAGAACAGACCGAGGACAGTCCTAGCGGAACAAAACTAATACATCGAAGTCACCCCGATCACAAACGAGTTCCTGCCTTCTCGCCCGCCTCTTTTATCTCTCGCTCAAAACATTGGCCTCCTTGTGGGTGCCATGTTTTGGGGCTTTGGCTGTGATGTTTTTGGTCGACGCTGGGCCTTCAACTTAACGCTGGGAATCACTGCAATCTTCGGTCTCACTGCCGCAGGCTCTCCAAATTTTGCAGCCATCGGCTGTTTTGCGGCTCTTTGGAGCTTTGGAGTCGGAGGAAATCTTCCTGTCGATTCAGCTGTCTTCCTCGAATTCTTGCCGGGTTCGCATCAGTATCTCTTGACGATATTGTCCGTTTACTGGGCTCTTGCTCAAGTCTTGGCGAATCTGATTGCTTGGCCGCTCCTTGGAAGCCTCACTTGTCAGGAAGATGCAACGTGCACTAAGAAGAATAATATGGGATGGCGGTATTTTGTCATCACATGTGGCGGAATATCAATGATCCAGTTTATCATACGCTTCGTACTTTTCACCATACACGAGTCGCCAAAGTATCTCATGGGGAAAGGCAAAGATGAAGAAGCGGTTAGAGTCGTCCACGACGTTGCCAGGCGGAATGGGAAGACATCAGGCTGTGAGTAACTTGTACACTCTGCCTTTCATACCTATTCTAACAATAATCTAGTGACGATTGAGGATCTTCGCGCATGCGAACCTTCAGGAGTAAATCAACAAACCGATTCTAAAGCTGCTATTAAGCGTGAATTGGCAAAGTTCAATCTTACCCATGTTCGAGCTCTCTTCGCGAGCAAGAGACTGGCGCTCTCGACCTCCTTGATTATGGTAATCTGGGCATTCATCGGACTCGCGTATCCGCTGTATAATGCTTTCCTTCCTTACATCCAAGCAACTCGAGGAGCAAAATTCGGCGACGGATCTACATATCTGACATATCGCAACTCACTCATTATTGCAGTCCTAGGGGTCCCAGGAACCCTATTGGGCGGTTTTCTTGTGGAACTGCCAAAATTCGGACGAAAAGGGACGCTCTCTATCTCCACAATTCTAACAGGCGTGTTTCTCTATGCCTCAACAACAGCTCTGACATCAAACGCTCTACTGGGTTGGAACTGTGCATTCAGCTTCTTCAGCAATATTATGTATTCGGTGTTGTATAGTTACACGCCCGAAATATTTTTAACGAAACACCGAGGTACTGGTAATGCCCTCACCGCCACCTCGAATAGGATATTTGGCATCATGGCAGTAAGTTGTGTCCCACATTTGCACTTATAACTTCGCTAACATTATAATGATAGCCTATCATTGCTATGTTTGCCAACTTACAAACTGCCGCACCAGTCTATACAAGTGGCGCTCTGTTTATCGTCGCAGGCCTTCTCGTTGTAATTCTCCCTTTCGAGCCGCAGGGGAGAGCAAGTTTATAAGGACAAAGGGATTCTCTCATCATACGCATGGGATATATTCCCGAGGAATGTTTATGTCTGTATATATATAATATTAATGAATTCAAGCCTTGATTCTATTTCCTATCGAGGCATTAGGAATTGTTGCTAAAAGGACGCCGAATAGAAGAATAGTGATCTGATATGCTACGGTCGCTCCTCCGCAATCCCCAATGCCTCCCCAGAAGGGATACCCAAGAGATGTGACTGTATGACGATGGGTGGCTCGTCACATCCCTGCTTTATCAAACGGATAGGGCCCGGAAGTCCAGGAGTATTATCAAGGACAGGTGCAGGGCCGAGAGATCGAACGGTTCATGCTCAGTTGACGCCTAGCCAGTGGCTACTTCTTCCGCCGGACACATGGCAACCAGATCCCACTCGACTACTAAGTAGGCAATACGACTGACTGAGCTAACTAGGATGCAGGATCAATCCGAAAAACAATCATCGGCCGCGTGAACGAGGTGGTGCCGAGTAATATTCATTGATACTGGTTATTGTATCCTGACCTACATTCTGCCCCTTCCATCTTATCTTTCTAGGACTTTCGAGTCGGCCTGATGAGTCTCCTTTTACCAACAAATATAACACAACATAACTAACCTAGCCTGCCAAAATGTCATAGCGAGGAGGCAGTTATCGGATTCTAGCGGGTATTGTCTCACTTCCACTCCTTATTTATTTGCCTTGATTAAGTGAATTCCCACTGTTAATAGGAGCTAGCGGTACTACACTGTTGAAATTGCCTCCCAGACTTGAGGCCAGGATGATAGGAAGCTTAATGGCTATCAGTGGTTGGTTCTAACAGCACCTAAAGCCGGCAACGAAACGGATTCATGCGCTTAGAGCATGTCAAGTCACTTCAACTTTTTTAACTAGGTTGGGCAAAATGGAAGTCTACGTTATTTAGCTGGGATATGAACGTCAAGAAGCATGCTCGCGGTAGCACACAACGATAGCGGTTGCGCCTAGAATCTATATCACTGGCTAGCCTTTTAAACTAAAGCTATGTCGACGTTTAGTGTTGGCGGAGGTATATATCGCTACCTACCTAAGCATCACAATATTTGCAGCTCCGGTTAGCTGTGAGAGTCATATAAATGCCCTATCCAGTTTCCTTAAGGAGGCCTTCACGTAGGAGAAGGCTGCGCAAGATTTCTTGGACTTCTTCCCTGTCCCACTTGCAACAACCGATCTACTTAGACTACTAGACATGCTTTTTAGACCCAAACTAGATGCAGACAACACTGGCAAACAATTAAATTCCTATCGTAGGGTGCAACTGACTTGTATTCTGAGATCTAGGAGAAGAGGCCTTTTAGATATCCACCGTGACCTGGAGCTGGGCCCGAATAGGAATAAAAGAGCTAAAGTGAGAAAGCAGCAAACAGAGGATCCTAGCAGACAGTACCTAAGACCTCCAGTCTTAAGTATTCACCTCCTATATTTACTCCTACCGCCTATTCGGAACCAGCCGTATTTAGACATCTCTTCCACAGAGAGCCATACTTAGATCGACACAACTCCACTTCTTCACTCTCCCTATACCCCCGAGAGGCTATAGGCTCTCATAACTTCCGACGCGTCAAAATCAATCTTGATCCAACTAAATCAAGGTTTCCCGGTCACGGTGCTAAAGTTACTGGTTCAAGTTGAACCAGTGCCCCAAGCCACCTGGCTCATCTGGAGTCAACCCTCTGATTCCACTTGAATCCTCACTTTGATTACAAAAGAAGCGCCTTCTTAGGCATCCTGATCGATCTCAATTAGTCACTTTTGCCAAACAGCCACCACAACCACAGTCAACGACGACTGCGCCTTCATCTCCTGTTGATAGACATCGGACATATCCCTACAACAAGGTCAATCAAATTGATCGACAGTCACCACCATGGACGAGGATAGGAATTTTATATTACCAGAGGTACCTAACTCATCGGCGAAGATAATTTTGAGGAGTGGGAGGCAGCTATCCATATCCATTTCGAATGGTATGGAATTCTTGACCACCTCAAGTCTAATGTGCCGGAACCACATAAATTACCGCCATCAGAGGAAAACACGGCTTGGGGAAAATGGAAAAGGGATAAACTCATGGGCAATATCACGATCACTTCATCTCTCACAAACAAGCTTATAAGAGACCGCCTGAAGAATGCCAGTTGGAGCTCAGAGGACGTCTACATTACTCCAAGGGACAAATACGACCTCGTTCTTAGAGTGACCCGGTCGGAAATTGAGTGGGCACTACCTTCACTACTCACTGAGTACTGCCAACTCGACAGAGCCAATTAAGGAAGCATTACAGAATTCCAAGCCAGAGTCATATATCTCAAGCGAAAACTCGAAGCCTTAGACTGTGCTCTACCTGACAAAGGCAACATTATTGTTGTTACTGAGGCACTCAAATTGACGCACCCAAATTAGTACAACCTTCTCATGTACAACTTTAGCAATAGCAATTTACCCTGGTCACATTTAATGGACGACATGTCAAGAAGAGCCAAGGATGAGCTGTCAGAGACTAGTCTGGCAACCACGAGACCAATGTCTGGGTCCTTATCGCGACTCCAACCTCAGACTAAAACGATTCAATCTCAATCAACGTCGGAGGGCATAAAACTCAAAGTCCTTAGACTTAGCCCTTCACAACGCTATGAGTAGTGCGAACAAGGCAAGCAGCAAGAGGCCAGCTGTTAGATTTGGTGCCCAACTCGTAATAAGCATCATGGAAAGAGCTATTATAGGTGGCAGGCGAAAGGGCCGAATTCGAACTCCTCGAGTGCAGAACCAAGGTATTAGCAGGAACACTTACGACCCATACAAGGCTCCTATCTTAATTCGTTTTCAAGCGATTGCATTGGATTGTACAGTACACATACTCTTCTTTCCTTCTAGGGGATACTTAGGGATCCAATTTACGTATTCACTCCTAAAGGCGTATTTGGGAATATCCCAGCGCACGATACTTAGTTAGATATCTCTCCCACAGAGAGCCATACAGGCATACCTTTGTCAATACAGCTCCACTTCTTCACTGTCCCTATACCTATACCTAGTACAAATATAGCCATTACTGTGCAGCTCTACCAAATTCACGGTAGGAAGCATCCTCACTGATTTCTCTGAATGCCCGGTCCCTCCTTCCAAATGGTTCTCCACGGTTATTGTAAAATAAATGGCTACTAGCTTAGTACTAGCTATGTTTGGTAGCCCCGACCTCGACTCATTGCATAGACATCGTCCTCCCTGGATAGACAATGCTAAAGGCCCAGCCACTTGCTTCCAGACTTACCATCAAAGCCTCTACCTAACAAGTGTATGGGCGATATCCTATTGATTTTGAAATTTATTGACCTAGGTATCTAACATTTACAGCGGGTATTGGAACTAGGTCTTCTCAATAAATTCATAGCTGGGGAGACGTATCTCGTATACGCTGAGGGCGTCACCGGCAAGCAACCGTGTCAACAAAACGCTGGTTTCTAGTTTCTTTGCTTATAGTTAAACATACGCTAGTCCTATCCGTTGCTATTTGATGTAATTTCTGTTCAACAATACTTTACGCTGTCTGCCCAGACCAGCAAGTCCTAATGTTACTTAACTCTCTTAATCGAAGAATAAATTTACCTCAATAACCAGTACATGCCCATCCTAGCTATGGATTTGCTAGGCTGGTTATCCACCCTCGGAGAGCGCTTCTTCCATCGGTCTTCCTCGGCATAGATTTTCATAGAATATACAATCTTCAGCTCCATAAAATTTCTCCACTCCGCCTGAAAGCTAATATCGACGAATACATCTCGGACGTTTTTATGATGCTTGTATACGGCCGTTGGGAGTCTTCGACCTCCGAACTTCTGTACCGAGAAGTGTTCTTCCCGATGCTGAATCCAGCAACCGTATTTGGTATCCTTGCTACTATCCCATAAGAACGACCTCTCAGCTTCTTGGTGTGCCAAAGCAGATATTATCTGACTTCTTGTCGCGCAATATCGGACCAGCTCTGCGTTTCTTTGTAACAAAGAATGAAAATCCTCATCTGCTTTGTTCTCATCCAGGATGTGGATGAACTTCATCCAAGAACCACTAGAACCGCTTCCATAGTCAGCAGTATTGTTTCTACCAAGGAGAACTGCAAATCTCGGTTGTCTCGAATTCAGTTCGACGACTCTGAGTCCCTTTATCCCTGCGATTTCCGAGCCCGTGCGGCCATATCTTTGGCTTCCCTCCTGATGCAACTTACTCTTGACTTCTGCCTTGTTTTTCCCCGAATTTAATTCAGCGATTTCTTGGCTCTTGAAATTCTGTGTGAAGAACAATACAGCGTGCGGCCCTTCTTTCATTTCTGACAGCGTGACCTCTCCATCTTCTGCTGAGTATCGAGCATGCGGGAGACAATAAACCTCTTCAAGGATATAGTTCAGGTTATCTTTAGGCCTTGACATTCCTGAGATATCAAAATGTTTGACCGCCGCTTGTGGCTGCATGCGGACTGACACTGGCGGTGATATAAGAAGACGTTCTGTCGACCACTTCGCTACTCGAATGTCCTCCAAGCTGTGGCCAGACACGGGAATCTGAACTAGCTCGCCCCAGCGGGCAACACGACTGTTACTGCCCCGCATGAGAGGAATACAAAGATAGCTGTCATACAGTTCATCCAAGGTGAAAGGCATCGCGGCAGCTAGATGTAGGCCACTCTCAAATACCGGTAGAGTAATCTCTACGCCGCCCTTCGTTTCAATTGCTTCAGCCGGTGTCTTCCAATTTTCCAACGGTTGGATCCGATGACATTGTTTGAAAGCTGCAGGTGATTCCGCAAATAAGCCACGCAATTTTGATCCGTCTGCATAGTCTTGAGTTGCAAAAAAATCGTGTCCGGACCGGATGTTTGCTGGAAGGCCCCAAGCAAAAAGTGAGGAATCGTCAGACACTCTTAAGATCTCTTCTTGGAGTCGGATAAAAGACTTTTTGCCTTCTCCATATAGAAGGGGCATATTGATGTCGAAGATTCCCATGAGGCAATATGCTAGGTCTTCGACACGAGTTGTCTGTCGACTTGCTGCCCAAGACATTCTTCCTGCGATGCTGACATGGTGGAAAGCACCGGTCGCTAGTACTTCTGCATCGATATTGGTGATCTTACAAAGCTTATCTGATATCTTAAGCTTCGAACCAAGTAAGGTCCAATCGGAAGAATAGAATACAATTTCCCTTGGCGCAACGAGTTCCTGCAATGTCCAACCTCGAGTAAACCACCTGCTTCGCTCTAATTCGGATAGATTAGCTACGTCGGAAAGATAAGCGTAACATATTGCTGCGGTTCGATACCATCGGAACATTGAGTTTATGGCTTCCGATAACTCTGCAGAGCTAGTTTTATCAATACAACAGCTATGTGTCCTTATATCAGCTCTTTTACGATGACATTTCTGGAACGAAAGACTCACGTATCAACCCAGGCCCACTCGAATCCATCTTTTAGAGCCTGTTCACAACAATACTTAATCTTCATATATCCAGTTTTTGATTTAGCTCCGGGGTCGTCCATATCTCGAAGACTACACTCTTGATCGCTCCATGTATGGGACAGTATGGCGAAGGCTGGAGCCGTTTTGACGTCTGGAAATTCATATATTTGAATTGTGTCTGCCTTGATCAATCGCATTTTGTCCCCCCTGCCGACTGGATATGACTAATTGTTCGTCTCTATAGAAAATATTTTCAAGGGTCAATTTATAGAGTAATTGTAGAAGTAAGGCTTCAATAGCCGAAAACACTAGTCAATCATCCAGTCAGGCTCAGGTCAAGCTTGCTGTAGTTGAAACGGGCCGCTATTGTAGCTTGGAGGGATAAAGAATGTAAGATATTCTCGTACCTCGAATCTCAAGATGTAGAGGAGAAGAGACTGATACCTCGAGTAGTAGACATGGAGGTTTTAGGGGCTGCGATCTACGAGGCGGAGTCGCAGCTCAGCCCCACGTGTCTTGGAACCCTTGCCCGAATGTCAGATCCAATCAAATCACATCTTTCCAACTATCATACAGAACAAGGGTGTTTAATGTTTACTTGGATTGCGTTCTTGTTCTTTAAGACTACAACCTACTGAGTCGCTCTAAAGCATATGAAGGAGTGATTGATAACAGAATATGGGACTGTCAATTGCGGAGTAAAAAGAGATCAAGAGGAAAAGTACGAGATGCTTGGAACAGGTTACTCTGGAGTGGGTTGGGCTTTTGTCAAAGTACGCTTGCACGAATGAAAGCGGCTGTTGCAGCTGACAGAAACTACTTTAATCATAAAATCTTGGGTATCTAGTTCAAAGTTACACGAAGTAGCTTAGTTGGATCCTGCCCGTGTTTCTAATCGATACACCGCCGCCCTTGCACAAACGAAACTTCCTGCTGTAGCTTTGTAAGTTCACAGTCATCTCAAATTTGGATGTCAACTTACAATCTGTGCATTGTCAAATTTGAAGGATGCCAACAAAGTTCCACCACGGTAGCCTTTTCGAACCATTATATATTATGATATATTCTCCATGTCTCAAGTTCCACAGATATTCGCAACCGCTCACTCATATCGAGGAAGCCGCAAATATGTGAAGCAAGATAAAGGAAGCAATTGCTGGCCAGCCGAAGGAAACCCCCACCTGCCCATGAGTGGCCGTATTTGATTTCGTTCCTTCCCCGGTTGCTGTAGCTCCGGTAGGAGTCGTGGTGACTCTAACGGAAGTTTGGGTCGCTACTTTGGTGGGCGCCCCAGTACAAGTAGTTGCCCCTACTGATATCCCAGAGATAGGTGCACCGCTATTATCCACATCGCATCTGTAGTCACCCGCTGTGTTCTGTATCTTGAAATCGATATTCGCCTTCGGGAAATTTTTCGATACCCTGTCTGTGGTGTTTGACCAAACCTTCGCAATTGTATACCAACTTGGCATTCTGGTTACCCTCGCATCCTCGCCTGCCATCCACGCCGTGAGCTCTGGTGTTTGCCTCCAGACGTGCATTGTTGCGTTCCTGACCTCTCCACCGTCGATTTCGTTGCGGATATGCCAAGATTTGGTGTCGTTTGTCTCGGCTAAAGTGCCATTGCTTAGCACTGTTAAATTGGTCAGGGTCCATGGAAACGTGTAGAGCACATCATCGAGCATGCTGGTTGTTGGTATTCGAGATATTTCGAGGAAAGCAATGTAGAGCGACGCCTTTGCTTCCTCGTCCATATTTATCAGTGTCAAGATAGGATCTGTAAGTGGAATCTCCTCTGGTGGCAGGATCCCCTTTGGTGGTGCCATTGTGGAGAGCTCAAGACCTGAAGGGTAGACGGCTTTAAAATCGAAATCATGACCAGTGATAGGGGGTCTAATATAAGCGTTGGCAAAGGCCGAGAGGACCAAAGCTGTCGGTATTAACTTGTTGAGAACCATCTTCTAGAAATAATCAAGTAAAATGTTTATTAATTTGGCCACTACATTTTCGAAAACCTGCTGGGCCTTTAGAGTAGTTATATAACTTATGTTGGCTTGCGATATAAGTCTCTTGGCTCACTCGGCGTGATTTAACCGGAATTAGATGGGAAAATACGTACAAATAACACCAGCCAAGGGACGCTCCCAAGTGGCGCAGCAATCTCCTCATCAGTTGCTAGTAATTAGCAACGGTTTTTGACCGGCGATTCAAAACTTATTACTCATATCGCATAGACTCAGATAGTGTGCTACGTGCTAGAAGTTGACACCTTCATCCAATTAACTAAAAAATTGCGTATTTAAGTATGCCGAAATTATTCCACAAATCCCTGGTTCGTTTGTTCGTAAGGTACTAAGGTACCAGTAGTGATCGTATTAAGTCTGGCCAGCAGAAGCAGAAGCAGAAGCCTGTCAGGAGAAGAGATTTTACATCGTAGGTGCTAAGTAAGCAGCCGGAGGTCGCGTGATCCCGTGATCCAACAATGCTCGATATCCACACGTTTTATTTCTTTCCGTCCAGACCAGTGAAGAACGTGTACCCAAACGAGTCCGAAGGATCGTTGAACCTCAATTTTTTATCCAGCCCATCAACTTTCTTCACGTCCTCTGCCTCTAGCTTGAAGTCGGCCTCTAGATTAGCCTTAATCCTCGCTGGCGTCTTGCTCTTTGGCACCACACATCTGCCATGCGCAATGCCCCAAGCAAGCGCAACCTGTGCGCCGGACTTTCCATACTTCTTCCCGATCTCGACGAGTGTAGGCTCATCCTATAATGCGTCGGTTAGTAAGATGTGCCTCCGGGTGTCTTCCTCGGGTCCCCCCTTACCGTCAACTTCCCCAAGCTCTTCCCAGAGTCGTAGGACTGATTCAGATTCCCGAACGGGGAGTACTGCGTGATATGGATCCCCTTCTCCTTATGCCACTCAGCCAAGCACTTCTGCTGTAGCCACGGATGCATCTCGAGCTGGTGCATTGCAGGTACCACGGTGCCTTCCTTCAGGATCCTCTCCATCTCCTGCTTGTTGAAATTGCACACGCCTATCGCCTTCGTCTTTCCCGTCTGGAGCAGCTTCTCCATCGCCTTCCACGTGTCAACGTAGTCGATCTGCGCCGTCTCCATCTTGCCCTTTGCGTCCTTGGGCATGAGTTCCGAGCCGGACTTGAATGCTCCTGGCCAGTGCATCAGATATAGGTCGACATAGTCTGTCCCAAGTGCCTTGAGAGATAAGTCGAGGGCCGGCTCAACATCCTCTGGCGCGTGTGCATTATTCCAGAGCTTGGTGGTGATAAAAAGGCTCTTCCGGTCCACACCGGATCTCTTGATGGCAGACTTGACGGCTGGCTCGGTGCCGTAGATATGCGCAGTATCGATGTGGCGGTACTATTTGTCGAATATGAGACTTGATCTTACTCTGCTAAGGTCTTGGCACATTGGAACTTACGCCGGCCTTTAGAGCCTCAAAGACGGCATTCTCTTGGGCTTCTTGATCTTGCCAAGTTCCAAAGCCCAGAGCTGGGATAGCGGCGCCCGTGTTCAGTTTCTGGATTGTTTGAGTGGACATCCTGTATATGCTGTAAAAATGAGGATATTAAAGGAGAAATGGAAGAGACCTAAGTTGGATGCGCAACAGCACTTACAAGTTTCTTCTCCGGCAAGAAACTACGCTATGACAGCATAATGGTGTGCCTAAAGACTCTTATCGAATTAATAAGAATGAAATGTGGGAATTATAGACTTCCATTGGTAGCTTTCACCAAAACTGTTCGGAAGACCCTTACGTCACCATCAACACCATTAATCACAATCGTCATTCTGCGTCACCTAGAATGCTGATTGTCCTACCTTCAACAGAGGAAATTGCCATTCAAGCAGATATCTATAAACAGCAAATACCAGATGGAAAATGGGGGTTTAATTCCGAAAAGGGGATCTTAGAATTATATAGTCAACCTCTATTCGATTACGACAGGGTGACTAGAGCAACATACAATGCCTTCGTCGCAACTGAAGCCAAACTTTATTAAAGCAGACGCAAGTAACAGATTGGCTGACTGTCAATATAAATTTAAATAAGAGCATCATTCCGCATTCCCTAGGCGTGTCTTCAGTTTAAAGGGGAACAACTATTAGGCGAGGGTCTATAGGGGAGAGACCTGACCAACCCGCCGTAGCGATAGTTGCTAAGGTATTATGTGGTTAACACCGAAGTCCGACCTAAGCCCGGAATTTCCCAATCCAGATCTTGCTGAGCTTCGTGAGCTTCCTCCGTTCGACACCATTTCACTTAGCCACCGCCATCCTCACTAATTGAGCTCCATTCGCGATGGCTAATCTAGCACCAACACCCAAAGATGCCGCTGCGAAAGAGCGCATCATAAAACACATGAATGCCGACCACCAAGTCTCGCTTTCTTACTACCTACAGCACTTCAAGAAGCTGTCCGCGAGCGAAGCGCGCTCCCCTCTCCTCGAAGACGTCTCGTTCGAATCGATGACCGTCCGCGCATCCAATGGCAAGACTCACAGCATCCCCTTCAACCCGCCCATGAAGACCTGGGCTGATGCGCGCGGACGCACTGTCGACATGGACCGCGAGGCCAGAGACGCGCTCGACATCAGCGATGTCCGCGTCACAGAATATCACCGCCCTAGAAGCCCTTTCCACGTATTCGTTTTCACCGCGTGTCTATTTACGATGGTTATATTTATGACACGTAGCAAGATTGTCCCCGGAACGTGGTTTTATGATAAGGTGCTTCCATGGTTCCCTGGTGGCCCTGAGTGGTTCGTCTGGATTGTGGATATGATCGGCATACCGGTCCTGGGCATCCATTTAACGGAGGTGTTTCTGTTGGATAGAACGAGATTGAGGAAATATGGTGTGGAAAGGGGGTCGTCGCTGTGGTGGAAGTGGATGGCAAGCTGTTTTATTGAGGGGTTTGGATGTTTCCAGAGGATTGATGCGATGGTACGGCGAACGAAGAAAGCGATAGAGAAGGGAAATCATTAAAGAGGTAGGGAATCGCAAAATGCTAGCAGATGTGGAAATGCTATAGGCATATATAGAAGCATGTACAGCCCTTGAATCCTTTAGTGATGTTTCGTTAGCGGCAATTGCCTTTCTTTTGCGTGCGATTGGGATTGCCGGATGTGTTGATGCACCCGTTTGCATGCATCGTTGAGAACAACTTCCCTTCCGCAGCAGCATTGAATTCCCTAAACACATTGTCTATGGCTGCAAATTTATATATACAAAGATGATAGCTCCACTTTCACGATGGCTGTTACGGCTAGGCCGCCAATCACCATCACCTCCACGCAGCTATCTGAACCAGAATTTCGAGCAAATAGGCGAGGGCCAAATGATTGAAGAGGAACATTACCTGGTTATTTCGCTGCACGGTTCTATCCTGTGCGTATCGGCGAGATATTCGTGAGCCGTTATCAAGTAGTCGGGAAGCTTGGCTTTGGTGCATGCTCTACGGTATGGCTTGCGCGAGACCTCAGTATTTGATGCCATGTACACCTATCTTTCTCATTCGCTTAACTAACTCACGAGGAGTGTTCGCCGACATGTTGCCTTGAAAGTCTTTATTCGCTCCCGGTCCCTGAGCACCGAGGCTGAGCATGAGCTTAACATGTACAAGCGTCTGGATCAAGGGTCATCTAAGCACAGTGGTCGAGATGCTCTTCGAAGACTATCAGTCTCTTTTAAGATTTCTGGACCAGATGGAAAGCGCCAGTGCCTTGTCAATTCCCCGTTGTGGCATAATATGCGAACATTTCTTGCCATAAACCCTGCTGGCAGACTTCCAAAACCTGTCCTGTTGGCGACACTGCAACGTCTCTTCATTGCCCTGGATTATATGCACAACGAATGTAATCTTATTCATACTGGTAGGGACCTAAACTCTTATATATGCCCTATGAAGTCGGCACTGACATTAGTACCCCTAGATGTTTCGGCCACCAACATTATGTTTGGCTTCATAGATGATCTAGACCCGGCATTCGCAGAGTTTGAAGAAGAAAATATTCGCAGTCCATCCCCAAGAAAAGAAGTTGATGGGAGATTCATCTATGTCTCTCGAGATCTAGGCCAACCTAAAGGACTTGGCCTACCGGTCCTTTGTGACTTGGGGAATGTAGTAGATGGGCAAGTAAAGCACATTCGGGACATACAGCCAGATGTCTACAGATCCCCTGAGATGATCCTAGGTATAAGTTGGAGCTATGGAATTGATATCTGGAATGTTGGTTTTATGGTATGTACAGTCTGGCAATTTTTATGCTCTAGAGAACACATCCGTAGCTAATGAAACACTACATCTGGGATCTCTACGAGGGAAGGCACATGTTCTGTGGTCAAGACCCGGAGTATCACAAATATAGAGGGCGAGCGCACCTTCGAGAGATGATTTCTATGCTAGCCCACCTCTAGAGCTCATCGCGCGCGGCGGGCATAGAGAAAAATTCTTCACCGAAGAAGGTGTATATCTGGAATCTTCGCATAAGTCTTAACATGCATCTGCTACAGCTGCTGACATTCATCGTGTCTAGGTGTATTGAAGGCGGGGATTGATTCCCC